GTGCTTGAGGGGGGGGGGGGGGGGGGGGGAGCCATATGAGCATCACTTCCCTCCTCCCTGCCAGGTGGATGTGACAGGTCAGCCACAGCATATCATGTACCTGATGGGATCCTGACCTTCTCAGGCTCAGAGGGAGAAAATGGTGGAAAAAAAGCTCTGGTGGGAGAAAATGGCTCTGGTAGGAGAGATGTGTCAAGAATGATATGAGCTACCATTGCTGCTGAGACAAGGATGATGCTTTCTTGCAAATCCAGCACCCATGCACATGGTGGCATCTTGGGTCACCTCTTGCTTAGTACAGAACAGGTATCTGTTGGGTCACAGAGAACTAAACCATGGCAGCTCCTTATATACAGAGCCAGTTCTGACCCCCTTAACATCTTCTCTTCACTCTGGTTTGATTTGGGTGAGACTATTCACAAAACACCTTAGTTCCCAATTTCACAACAGCCCAGGCCATCCTGCCTGGAGATTCATTTTTAACCACCTGCCAAGGATTTTGCAGACTACCACACACAAGAGAAATACCTCCCATGTAGCCCATCTTTTGGGTTAAAGAACAAAAGCAGAACAAGAAGAGTTGGCAAGTTTGACACAGTAACTTCATTGGGTTCAGTACTTACAATTGCATGACCAGATATAAATGGTTCGGACTCTCATAGATGTCTTCCAGGGCAACTATATTTTCATGCTTGATCCTGAAAAACCATAAGATAAGATAAGATGAAATACTGATTTTCATTTTTTTTTACATAGCTGCAAAACATAAAGCTATTTTTAGTTAGACACTACTTGTCAGTCTTTATTCAACATCATAAAATATGATATTGATCCAAGTAAACAGTGCTTTGCAGCCCAGAATACTGTTATTGCTCCCAGAAAACTCCTTCAGTCCTCTCTGAAGCCAAAATATTTAAGGGTTAAGTATCTGGGGCATTAGAGGTTTACAGTTCCTGTGTCAGAAGCAGGATGAAGGGGGAAGGCAGGGATTTGTCCCTGCGCAGGCACAGGTAGGCAGCTGCTGTACGACAGTCCCATGCCCCTTCCCACCAAATTCGCCCTGCTCCGATGTCACACCTGGTCTGGACACTTGAATTTCGCTACAGTGGTGTTAAGCACTGGGCACTTTCTGTTCAATAGCTTCTTCATGGGTTTTCTACACCCTCACCATTCCCACCGATCATTCCCACTACGCCTCTTGTCAAAATGCTAGCTTTAAAGAGAAAAATCATCTCTACAAGCATACAGCTAATTAACTAGCAGAGCAATGCCTCTCTGGGTTTGCTCCTTAAATGCTTACAAATAATTTCTGAAGGATACATTTAACTTGTTCAAACCCTATAGAGACTACCAGTACAACTCCAGGGGCAGAATATTAATTACACCAATTGCAGACAATCATTTTAAGACCAAGAGAAAGCAGAGACCACTCATTAGCCAGCAGATGGACAGATTCAGAAAGAAAGTAAAAGTGCATCATCAGCAAATGCAAAACTCTCTACATGTTTCAAGGTTCAAGTAGCTTAATTAAGATGCTTAATCATGTGTCAGGTCATCATCCTCAATGGTCTCAAGCGCCCTAAAGTCTGCGTGAAGGTATTGAGAGCAGAAGGTCCCCTGCGCCCGGCAGGATCTTTGCCGTAAGAACGCAGACTAATCGAATTTCCTCTGAATTCACTGGAAAGGTTATGACTGATCTGAATTTACGCCCATAATCAGTCATCAAAAGCTGCATTCATATAAGGACCTTCACGCACAGGAAATTTAACATCAACAATAAGTGAAGTCAAATATAATACGCTACAGGATGTCAAAGAAACAAATACTTGAATAGGTTCCTCACTCTCTATAAACAGCTGGAAAATCCCGTGATATTTTAGCAAAATTTCCAGGTAGATTGTATCACAAATTAAGTTCTTAATATTGACAACAGGAAACCAATACACCACCCATTTGGCTTTACACAGCACATGTTTGGAAACCTTTATTTTGCTGTGCAGGTCTAGTGTCTGGTCCCTTAAGTGTTACAGTTAGGGCAAGGGTAGTTTTGCCTTGTTAGTTGAAGGTACACAAGGATCCCAAATGATATTTCAAGCAAATAGTCAATTTTAATGGAAATTACTATATGTATTTATACATTTTCCCTTGTGCACAGGCACATTCACGTGGTCAGTTGTGTACCTCATACTACCATGATCAAGTAGGCAGTTTTAATACAAATAATCTGCCGTAGTGTTATCTGTTAGAAGCCTCCAACCTAGTCTGCGGTATGTTGGGGTTTTTTTACCATGCACATATTAATGCTTTGCATTTCTATTTTTGAGAACCTCAGAGGTTCTCCAAACCAACCTAACCCCCTCTGAGACAGCTGCCAGCACACCTGACTGTCACCCACGTGGCTAACGCGTGGGTTACCCACAAAGACGATCAGCCAGGGAGGCAGAGGCCAGAAAAAGGCTCATCAGACACGCAACGCCGCACGCTGAGGGCTGCCGCAGGACCCTCTCCCCTTTCCGATTTGCAAACCAAATGGGCACTGCGCCGCTGCGCTCTCTGAAGGCAGATAAACTTGCTTGGTTGTAAAGTGAAGGGGGGAGAAAGAGCTTAGTCCTACCACCACAGCGTTGGCCGTATTGAGCCAATCTGCCCCTCTGTGAAATCAGATGCAGGACATGAGCGCGTGGGATTCAGGGAGACAGCGAATATAAAGCATGATCTGGAAGAAGGCAGCAGAAGAAGTTGAATCACCCCCAAAGTACAAAGGGAGCCACTCCCATAGGGATGAATGTACTTGGAAGGAGATGTCACTTTGGGAGGTGATGCCTGTGCACACCAGCCACCCCAACCCCACTGCACTCCAGAGTCTTGCTGAGGTGGGAAGGAGGTATTTTCTTCGTCTTTGCCTCAGCCTCCCCAAGATCAGCAGGGCCTTAATCGGGGAGTTACGCAGCGCTTCACAGTCCCAGTGAAGCATACATCGCATGCATACAAATCAAGCAGCTTGACCCAAACAGCATCTTTCTTCTCAGATGGACTCCTGAATGACAAGCTATTTAAAGGAAAATGGAATTCAAAATTAAAAAAAAAAAAAATCGATGGAAATCACCTGGGGAGAAACCCACGGTTCAGATCAAGCTGCGGGTTGTGCTGCTGAAGCTGGACCAGAGCAGCCGTGGGCTTCCCAGCAGAGGTCACTGCAGCCAGCAGCAACTCCTCTGCTCCTTTCTTCACTTTACAGCATGGGCGACCAACCCCCTACAGCCCTGGTGCACAATAATTAACCCTTCAAGGCTGAACGTTACAATAACACCCCGGGATGTGGGAGAGAGTGCGGTATCCTCACAGCACTTTTATCAATACCACAAAGGCCAATGGGGACTGGGACAAGTTTGTCCCACTCGTCGGCAAGCAGACCAGGGTGTCAGACATGCAGGTAACAGCCCAACAGACCCTTCTGGCTTGCAGAGATGCTCGGATACATCAAGAGCCGAGGAAAGCACTGTGTAGCGGCAGCTACTTGATGGTCACGGATCAGGAGGGATTTGGGAATGGCTTAATTAACTCCACTTTTATCCCCCTCTAGAAGCACTGAGTGAATCTCAAAGGTTCAGAGGATTCATTCTGCTAAGCCTCCAAATGCCTCCATGCTGCCCCACCGGTGATCTCGCTTAGCAGAAATACTCACTGGACTATCTGATCTCCTCAAGACCTGCCAGGATTTACTTTTTTAAAAGGTGCTGCTCTCATTTTACAGAAGGGGAAGCAGCACGCAGAAAAGCTAGAAGGTTTTCTGTAATCACATGAGATGAGGGAGCAGAGAGGGTTGAGAAACCAGACCCCCCGACCCCAGAGTATTATCTTAACCAGTGGGCCGTATTATTCCAATCCCTTCTCCCTCCCATCTTGGTGAGAGGATCTTAACCTCACTTCTCCGCAGCCTTTTTCTTCCCTCTGTCCTCCCTCTCCAGCCTTCCCCCTTCCCAACGTGTGGCTCCCACGCTGCAATAGATAAACCTGCCCTGGATTAACTCTGCGCAAAGCAACGTGTTGATGATGTTGTGCTACGTGACGGTGCAACGTTATGACTGTGGCAGAGGGGACATGGACACGGACTGGGGTTACAGCAGTTCCCATGAATTGTTTCCCAAAAAAGAAGAAACACCCCAAAAGTGAACATGAAAACATGGGCTTGGTTGAAGCAAATTAAGTCAGATTACATAAACTGAACAAGGAAACATCCAGCTGAGGAAATCTCCCTTACCAGCCTTTTAACCTGCCCTTCATCACACTTGCTGTTCTCCCTGATGCTCTCCCTCCTTCCTGGCAAACCCCAGATGCTGCTCGCATCTCCCACACCCTGACGTGTCCCCACAAATCCCCCTATCTGTGACACAAAGGGCAGGTGCCACCTCCAGCCACTGCTGCTTTGTTCATTTTCAGGAATATTCTGAGGCCATTCAACAGAAAGAAGACATCTAGAAATAAAAATACAAATAAAGAGAGGCTAATACTTTAACCAATTCACTCAAGACTCTTCACCTTACAAGGCCCATGAGATGCTGCAATCCAGGGGACAAAGAAGAGGAAAATAAATCTAGAAGTGAGAATCAGGGAAATCAGAAAAACCATGAAGAGTGATTAACCCTGATAAGAAACTACGAAGAGAAAGGATACATTCACCATTTTCAGGGCAGCGCTGGTCGCAGGCAGACATAAGCCATGAGGCTCGATGCAAACATGCAAAATTATTAAGTTTCTTCTCCAGCCTTTCAGGTCTATGATTCTGCCTTGTTGACAGATAAAGCTGTCAACAACACAAATGAATGGAGGCAACGTTGCACCTGAGCAATATTGTAACATATGAGCAAACTGCCAGCCAAGACTTAAAGAAACAAACTGAACTGGGCAACCAACGACTTCGGGTGACTTTTCCAAGCATGGCAGCTGTGCAAACAAGGGCTGACGGGAGAGCGTTTGATCTGCTGCAGAGCCCCAAGCACAAACTGGTCCCCTTTGCCTGCTGTGGAGTCGTTGCACAAGAGCGTTGATAGATAAGGGAACTGTCATTTTTCCCTGACTGCTACAGCATTCAGTGCTGCTGAAACACAGAAAAGTCTGCCTCTGAAGGAGCTGAAACCCTTTCCCAAAACAAGACCTGACTTGACCAGGAGTGGCATTTGGCATGACAGTTTCCATCATGCCAAACTGGGTGTGCTGCAGCGTTGGAGTAGTGATGAGTATGTGGCATGGCACTCCAGTGATGCTAAAATCCACCCTTTTCACAGGTCAGAACAGAGCCACCACGTCCTACTCACTGCCACCTGAAGGGCACAAGTCCCATAGGATCAAAACTAGCCCTAATGGGCAAAACTCACTTCAACACTCACACACACACACAAAATAAAAATCCATATATCCCATGGGCTTTGGCTGGAGATTGCTTTTAAGAAGCAAAGGATTAAAATATGGAAGTTGATGTACAACGAGGGAAACCAAATCCTTTAATGACTGAGCTTCCTGTACATCTCTGCTGGCTCCTGACTATCCCAGAGGCCAACGAGCTGAAAGAAAACTGGTTGCATATTGCCACAGATCGTTAATTAGAAGGGTAGTACTCTGCGTGGATAAAAGCAGAAGACACAGATTTTGCTGTTGCTTTGGCTGCCAAGCTGCCAGTAGAGCATGTTAAATATCCCAG